AAGGTAAATGAAAACATTCTTCGTGCGCGCGTGTAAAAAAAAAAAAAAAAAAGGAAATACTTTCGAGACTTGGACTACGAGAAACGAGAAAATGGGTTTCGTAAAAATACAAGTAAAAAGGGTGAAATTAAAGAGAAACAGAAAATCACTGTTCCCTCGTTTGACTTCTTCCATTCCTTTTATTCCTCTTCATTCTTTATATCCCGTTCCTTTCCCTCGCGTGCTCGACGTGCACGCGTCAACCATCCGCGCATTGGCCGGAAATGTTCATCGACGAGCCTTTCCTTCTTCCATCCTGAAACGCGATTCGTTTCTCGTTCGATGTTTAACGCGATGGTGAATCGCTACACCCAATTAAATAACAATACAATTAAATAATTTTTCTCCTTATTTTCGATTTTTCCTTCGATCGCTGGAGAACACGCGTCACTTTTACTTTTTCCAAAAGCAAAAGCCTCTTGGAAAAATAAAAATTTCTTACCGAAACGAACGAAAATGTTTTCGTTTTTGGAATTCATTTCGCGTGGAAAATTTTTCACTTTTTTGGATGAAACAGAGAGTAAAGTATTCGCAGTATTCAATCATTTGCATCATCCATCTTCAAATCTGATAATTTATAATATTGTTTTTCAGTATCTATCGATCAATCGTTCGAAATTCCTCCTCGGGTAACAAGGTAAACATTAATCGGAAAACAATTTAATATCCCTGGACGGAGAAACAAAGAAATGAGAATGGCGAATTCTGAACGATGATCGTGGCGAGCGCAGGACATGGGATTTAAGCGTTTGAGATTGACAATGGGGGTAGGAGGAGAAGGGTGTGGGGATCAGGGGAGGCCGAGAAAGTTTTCCAATTTGAGGCAATTAGTTTGCACAACGCGGGGGTTTGGATGGCATGCATCCAGATAATCGAATATGGGTCACCTGAAGTGGAATGGGCCGCGCTTTGGTCAGACCCTCGGTCCGGACTACCTATCGTGGTTACACCGTAAACCTAGAGAGAAAGAGTATGCGTGTATGTATATATATATATATAAGTGGAAAAGGCTGGACGAATCGTCTCGTTCTATCCTTCTTTCATTTATCCAATAATTATTTTAATTTCGAGTTTACAACTCGAAAGATATATCTACAAATTTTGTTTGCCTTTAGAAATTTCATTTCTTCATTCTACATCCTCGGATCTTGATCCGATTTTCAAATCATGTATTTTTTTTTAATGTAGGAAATTAATTGACAAAGAGATATTGAAAAAATAAATAATATATTATTTCGATTACGAAGAAGAATTTAATAAATAATTCTACACTGTATACTCGCGTTTTTTTGACTCTTGTTATATTAAACAGATGGAGATAGAAAAAGGTTTGCCGTATTTCACACGTGGACGAGGGCCGATCACAGAAAGCTAGGTTCGAAGCAATAATTGTTCGAGCTGGAATCTCGAACTGTTCGATACGCTCAGGGCATTAAAACGTTCGCCACGGATGGAACGCGGGATGATTTGCATATAGGGAAAAAAGGGGAGGGGAGGGGAGGAAAAAATAAAAAGGACGAGTGGTCTCTCGGTGCCGGCCGGCTGTTTCGAGGCGGAAAAAGTAATGAATATGGAAAGGGACGCGGTAATGCGGAAGATAAAGTGTTCCTCGTGGAATGAGAATTCAATTATGAGGACGTTGAGTGCTCCGAGACGAGACACTCTCGCTCGCTGAATTTTAAGCGATTTAACGATTACCGTTTCCGATCCGATATCTCATCGCGTTTCCAGATTTCCCTGGAATTTTTATCCCTTCCTTTTTCTCCTCTTCTTTTTTTTCTTTTTTTCTTTTTT